GCCAGCTCTCTGCTATGGCCAGGGAGTGCAGTGGAGGATGGCCCAGGTGCTTGGGCCCTGCACCCCATGGGAGACCAGGAAAAGCACCTGGCTCCTGGCTCCTGCCATCGGATCAGCGCGGTGCGCCGGCTGCAGCGGCGGCCATTGGAGGGTGAACCAACGGCAAAGGAAGACCTTTCTCTCTCTGTCTCTCTCTCTCACTGTCCACTCTGCCTGTCAAAAAAAAAAAAAAAAAAATCTTTAAAAAAAAGGAAAAAATGTTAAAGGAATTTTTCAGGCAGAAGGAAATTGTTAGCAAAAGGAAATCTGGATTACATAAAAGAATGAAAAGCATTGGCAATGGCAGTAAGTGAGTAAATACAAGTATTTTTCTCATTTAAAAGATATTGCTTATAGATTCTTACCCTATAACCAGTCATTCTACTTCCAGTTATTTACCTCCCAAAATGCAAACATATAAACATACAAATACTTGTATATGAATGTACATAGCAGCTTTATTTGTAGCAGTTAAAACACTGGAAAAAATCCAAATGTTCTTCAGCAGGCAAAGGATGAATGGTAGTGTATCAACCGAATGCAACACTATTGAGAAAGAAAAACTACTGGTATGCACACAAATGTAGATCAATCTCATATAGAGGGAGAGAAGCTAGATCCAAAAAAGTAGGTATGCTTCCACTCATATAAAATTCTATAAAATGCAAATTAATCCACAGGGATAGAAAACGGATGAGCAGTTTCCAGGGAAAAACAGATGGCAGAGAGGGATGGATTACCAAGGGGCACGAAGAAGCTTTTAGGGGTCATGGACATGTTCATGATTTTATTTTTCAACTCAATTTGAGAGGCAGAGAGACAGAAAAGATATGAGCTCTCATCTGTGGCCCACTCCCAGAGGCACACAAAGGCAAGGCCTGGAGCAGCCTGAAGCCAGGAACTCAATCCAGGTCTACTATGGGAGTGGCAGGGATTCAACCGCTTTAGCCCTCACCGGCTGCCTCCCAAGGTCTGCATTGGCAGGAAGCTGGAAACAGGAGCCAGAGCCAGGAACTGAATCCACATACTCCAACAGGGGACACAAGCATCTCAGCTGCTAGGCCAGACACCTGCCCCCTACTTATTATTTTGTGATGGCTTCATAGTCATATATACATAAATGTTAAAATACGCTCAGTTCCCTCTATGTCATTCTACCTAAAGATATAATTTAAGAAAGAGGCCGGTGCTCCGGCTCCATGCGCTAATCCTCCACCTGCGGCGCTGGCACACCGGGTGCTAGTCCCGGTTGGGGTGCCGGGTTCTGTCCCGGTTGCTTCTCTTCCAGTCCAGCTCTCTGCTGTGGCCCAGGAGTGCAGTGGAGGATGGCCCAAGTGCTTGGGCCCTGCACCCACATGGGAGACCGGGAGAGGCACCTGGCTCCTGGCTTCGGATAAGCGAGGTGCGCCGGCCACAGGCCATTAGGGGGTGAACCAATGGAGAAAGAAGACATTTCTCTCTCTCTCTCTCTCACTGTCCACTCTGCCTGTCAAAAAAAAAGGGGGGGGGGGACTCCAGGCTCAAATAGCTTTGCTAGTGAATTCTACAAAAAAATTTTAAGGAAGAAGGGTGGGCATTGTAGCACACCAGATCAACTGGGACACCTACATCCCTTATCATAGGACTGGTTAGGGTCCTGGCTACTCGCTATTCATGTTCCCCCCCTTTTTTTTTTTTAAGATTTATTTATTTATTTATTCGAAAGGCAAAGTAACAGCAAGAGGGAGAGACAGAGAATCTTCCACCACTGGTTCACTCCCCAAGAAGAGCTAGGTCTGGGCCAGGCCAAAGCCAGGAGCCAGGAACTCCATCCTGGTCTCCTACACGGGTGGCAGGGGCCCAAGCACTTAAGCCATCTTCCACTGCCTTTCCAGGGACATTAGCAGAAAACTGGATAAAAAGTGGAGTAGCCAGAACTGGAACCAGTGCTCTGATATAGGATGCTGGTGTCACAAGCAGTAGTTTAACCTACTGTACCACCACAACACCACCACTTCCCCAACTCCACTTCTGATCCAGTTTCCTGCTAATTTGCCTGGGAGGCAGTGGATGATGGCCCAGGTGGTTGGGTTCCTATCTCCCAGCTTTAGCCTGGCCCAGCCTTGGCTGTTGCAACCATTTGGAGAGTGAACCAGCAGGTGAATGATCTCTCTCACTCTCTCTCTCTCTGTGCCACTCTGCCTTTCAAATAAATAAATAAATATTTTTTAAAGATTTATTTGAAAGGCAAAGTTATAAAGAGAGAAATAGGGAGGGAGGGAGGGAGGGAGGGAGAGGGAGAGGGAGAGGGAGAGAGAGGGAGGGAGAGAGAGAGAGAGAGAGAGAACGAACCATTTGGTTCACTTCCTAAATGGCTGTAACAGCTAGGGCTAGGCCAGGCCAAAGTCTGCAGCCAGGAGCCAGGAGCTTTATCTTGGTCTCCCTTGTGGGTGTGGGGTTTCAAGCACTTGGGCCATCTTCTGCTGCTGTCGCAGGCACATTAGCAGGGAGCTGAATCCGAAGTGGAGTAGCTAAGACTTGAATTGGCACTCACATGGGATGCCAGCATTGCAGACAGTGGCTTTACCCATCACGCCACAATGCCAGACCCAGTTTTTACAGAAATGTAAAGAAGAATACCAACCAAATTCTTCCCAGAAAACAGAAGGAAGCACGTCCCAACTTATTTTATGAGGTGAGTATTACCATGATATCAAAACCAAAGGAATTACCAAAAAAAAAATTACATGATTTTTAAAAATGCTCATTCTCTGGTATCACAGAACATCTGATATAAAAAATAAACCCCACAGATTCTAGGGTAGGATACATTCAGTAATAGCAAAACGGAAGTATGAGCACATGCAATAGTGCATGCATGTACCTAAGATGCTGAAAATGGGAAATGTGGATCATCTTTATTTTCTTTACACTTCTCTCTGTATGGCTTGAATTTTTATGATGTGCACAGACTGTCTTTATAATAAGAATAAAATAAAGCTGTCTTCATTTTGAAAATACATACAATACATGTTCCTTTGCCAAGAACCTGACAGACGTAAAGAGCAGAGCCAGGGTCAGGATGACAACAGAAGTGACACAAGGTGGCACAGCTGCTCCTTCGGTAACTGGCTGGAAACCAACTTTCCGCTGTCAGCCCCTGGGAGCTCAGAACAGTGCTCCTCGGAACCAGGACACCCTTCCTCTGCTCCAGCCCAGCTCCCTGCCACGTCACAAAGTTCAAACACCTGCATCCAGGTCCATCCCGTGTGAGAACACCTGAGGGACAAGCGCTTTGTCGTACACGGTGATGCAGAACAAAAGCAGGCTCTGCCTGGCCCAAGTTCAGAGCAGCTGTCACCCCCTTTCAACCAGGAGGCGTTTTCCCAGGACATCTTACACTTCTTACGGCTCCAGGCTTCGGCTACACTTCTATCTCCACGTCCTCAAACCTGGGTAAAAATAAATCTCTTCCTGCATGAGCTCTGGATTCTGCCCTCCCTCTAAAGCTGCCCTCCGGAGGGCACCTGCCTCATTAGCTCTGCACACGGCACCTCCCTGGCTGCCTTTCTTCTGGCTTCTGGCCCTTGTTTCTTCAACACCAATCTCACAACCCTGAATCCCAGCCACCCAAGCCTGCCATACCCGGCATTTTCTGATGGGCCGCTCTCCACACCCCTCCACTTAAGAGACCTTCTCCTGGGCTCTGGCTCATCTCCCCCACCTCTAAACCACAGCTGGACAATGGCGAGCTGAGGCAGACGTGGGTTTAATTGCATTCGGTCTCAACATCCTGAAGTTCTGAGGATTAGTTATACAATTCACTGAACGCCACTGAAGTGCACACTTAAAACTGGTTCAGATGGTAAATTTTATCCTATTTACAACTTGAAAAAAATCAGGATATTTCATAAAAAAAAAAAAAAAAAACAGGATTTCAGACTTTATTTGAAGAATATCTACTATCATAGGATCCACATTCCTGCACGGCGACCACCTCCAGTGTACCATCCCCCCTACCACCACACTCACCCATCATTCACTTTTTTTCTTTTCTGTTTGGCTTCTTGAGGCCTATGAGCTTGTGACTCCTGCTCAAAACCCCAGAGTGTCACATCTCACATCAGCTGGGCAAGCTAAACAATCCTGGAGAGGCCAACATACTCACCCTTCAGCATCTGACAGTAACCACTAGATGCCATCAAAAAGCTGTATGCCAAACTCTGCCTTCCCTCCTCCCCGCTTATCTCAGCATGGCGCTTCACTCCTCACTCATCCCTGAAGCCTTCTCCATCAACTCTAATTCAAAGGGCGTTCTGTAGCGCTTAGCATCTAATTGTTTGTTATCTTGCACATATTCACCCCCTCCATCCAGTTATACTTCAAGCCCCTCATTCATTCAACAAATCCAAAGCATGATTTTAGGCACTGAGGACATGGCGGTGAGCCAGAAAGACAAGGTCCCCCAACCCTCATGCAACAAAGACATTACGAATAAGTGAAATAATTCAGACAGTGACGGATGTTTTGGGGGAAAGATGAAGCAGTGAGGATCCTGGGAAGGACTTGGGGGAGGGGCTACTTAATGAGTTGGACGGTGAGTGAAAGCCCCCTTGAAGTGCGCTAAGCAGGTACCTGAATGATGAGGAGTCAGCCATGAAGAGACCGAGAGCAAGGGCACGCCACAGGAAACAGCAAGTGCAGAGAATCCGCCCCCCCCCCCCCTTTCAGGGATAGAAATAGATGGTGTGGTTAAACCACAGAAGTGAAGAAAAGAGGTCAGATTCTATGGGTGAGCAATAGTCTATACCTTTTAATATTTCAAGGGCAGGCATTCAACTAATATTTGAGTGCCACACCATGTACACATTTGCGTTTGACAATGCCCAGTAACGTTCAACCCCAATCATCTCTTTACTGGGTGATGCCAACATTCCTTTCATTCCTGTAACAAACCCGTCTTTAGCAAGGAGAAAGCTTACCCCTTTGATGAAGGTGGGTCTGTCCTTTACCCTAAAGTTCCACAGCATGATGTCTCCCCCTTTGGAACCCACTGCCAGGGTGCTGGGGTGAGTCGGGTGCCAGGCCAAGGAGGTAGCCCTCCTATCAAATGGGGCAGCCTTTTGGAATATCCGGTAAGAAGCCAGAGAGTGCAAAAAGGACTGCTGGAGACCCTGCCGCAGAGAGAAAAGAATCAAGCTGAATTAAAACCCAAGTCCTGGGGTTATGCAACCAAACTACCAAGTCTTGTAGCGGTTTAAGCTACCCCCAGCAATGCCGCCAACCCATATGGGTGCTGGTTCATGTCCTGGCTGCTCCACTTTCGATCCAGACCCCTGCTACTGTGTCTGGGAAGTCAGCAGTGGATGGTCCAAATGCCTGTGCCCCGGCCACCTATGTCAGAGACAGGGAAGAAGCTCCTGGCTTCAGTCCGGCCCAGGCCTGACTGTGCAGCCATTTGGGAAGTGAGCCAGCAGATGCAGGCCCTCTCTCTCTCTCTCTCTCTCTCTTCCTGTAACTCTGTCTTTCAAATAAATAAACAAATCTTAAACACAACCTCCCCCCCCCACACATACACACGCACACACACCAAGTCCCAGGCAAACTGGTAAAGTGCCAATCTCTGCCTTCACAGATGAGCCTGAGGGCCCAATCCCCCCCCACCCCCAAAGGAAAAGTAACTGCCTGGCCCTGTACATGAAAATATTTGCAACATACGTGACCTACTCTTGGAAAGCAAAGGGGCAGAGGTGCATTCCACTGGGACCTTTATAATCTAAGACTTTTCTATCTAGCTGAGCTCCCAGCGGGCCCGTCACCACCACGGGTGGGGGGGGCGGGGAGGTGATCTGACCACTTTGACAAAAACCAATTCTGGAAGCATCCAAAAAACAAAACAAAATACCATGCAAACCCTGGAGCACACCAGCCGGGAAACACCCACCTGTTGCAGCGATGGCCAGGCGGTTCTGCCCAGCCTGTGCTGGTGCAAGGCCCTGACAAGGCTGCTGCAGGGCTGCGGGTCCTGCAGGCCGGGCAACCCCGCCGGGAGGCAGTCTGAGTCAGATCTTCTGCCAGGAGCTGCCAAGAAGAGCAGAGACATACTTTCCCCTCCAGTCTCAGGAAAGGCTTTTCTGGTAAAATCTCAGGCGGTCCTGTTGTAGCAGTCACTAGAGCCACCCGGTCTCATCACCTCCGGGCTTTCCCATGGTCTGTTTATCTACTTCACCCGGCACAAGAAATAGTAGGACTCAGTCCCTTCCCCAAAACCGTTAATTCTGAAGTAGAACTAAGTATGATCTTGCAAGATTCCTGAGGGTTGAGGCAAAGAAACACACAGGAATAAAGTGCACTGTAGAACTCCTCCCAGTGTAGATGGGGTTGGGTGCCAATTTTAAAACTGCAAAGTAGTGGGGTCCCTGCCATCCACTTGGGAGACCCAGATGGGGGGTTCCTGGCTCCTGCTTTTGGCCTGGCCCAGCTCCAGCTGTTGCAGGGATTTGGGGAGTGAACCAGTGGCTGGGAGCTCTCTGACTCTCCCCAGAATAAAATAAAACAAAATCACATATAACACACAACAAAAATGGTTTTTGGACAGCAGAATGCAAGTGATTGTCTCCAAAAAGATGTCACTTTAAATGCTGGATTAAAGTAGTGTAGAGGTGACATCAACTTAGAACAGGAAGTAGACGAGTCTAGATGATTATCTAACTGTATCTGCATTTTCAGTCTCTATGGGTCTTTTTGACAACCTCTTGTTTCTTCTCAAGGACAAAAACCACGTTATCCGCAACCCCCTGCCCCAGTCTTGGGTTCCCCCATTACCCCTTACAGCCCCAAGTTCAAACCCCAGGAAACCTCAGAGATGGAGCTTTCTAAGGAAGGCAACAGGAGGCTGTCCCAGCTAAAACCAAGGCCACAGAACTAGACACCCGCCGCGCCAGGAGAGGTAGATTACTTAGGCAGCCCTCAGGGTGTAAAACGCCTCAGACAGACAAGGACTGGAAGGGGGGCTCATCTGTTTCCTCCTCCCGGCGAGGAGGGGGCTCTTTAAACCTCAGCTCCCCGGGGCCAAAGGGCCTGCAGGCAAAAAGCACAGCCTGAGGCACCGATCCCTGGGGTTGCCCCAGGAACCCCGGAGCCATCCCCCACTCCGGCCTGGGCCCCCCGAATGGCGGAAGCATTAAAGCCGCAAGCACAGGCAGTACCGCAGCCCGTGACGTTCAGCTTCTTGGCCTCGGGCTCTGGGTCTCGGGGACTTCGGTTCCTCTTGCTCCGGGGGCGCAGCACAACCTCGAGGGGCTTCTGGGCTTCGGGGCGTTTCTTGGGAGCCATCGCGCCGCCCGTGCGAAGGGGCGTCCTATGCAGGGATCCCGGAGGGAGGACTGAAAAGCCTCTGCCGGGAGAGGCAAAGCGGGGAGCCCGAAACCCCCGCGGCTACAGGTAGCCCAACTAAGCCAACTTCCCGCCAAACATGCCCGGAGCTTGTTTGGTTCTGACTCTGGCTCCGCCCCTCTCGGAGGGACACGCCCCTTCCGGGAAGGCGGGACGTGCGCGGCGATTGGAAGAGCGTGAAGGGCGGAGCTTCCGCTCTCCGGCAGGCGTCTGGGTTTTTCTTTTTTTCTTCTTGGAGATTGGGATGTCTCCTCTGTGATGCGCCGCGCGTTGCATAACCGCTCATGTCTGAACACAGATAGTAACACGGACACGATCCAAAACACAAAAGTGACCAGAACTCTCCCTGTTTCGGCCAATACGGAAACTAACGGCGGCCGCTGAGCCAGCCACACCTTCAGCCTTGCTGCTTGCTACCCGCCCTTATCTACCTTATCTAGGGATAAGGCTGATCAGGATGCTGTAGGGGAGGACTCGCTGCCGGCGTCGCTGGGGCCCAAGATTTAAACCAACGTGGCACGGATTAACGGGAGAGCGCAGAGACCTTCTATTTCATGTTTTTGCACGTACCTGGGAGACTTTAAAAGGAAAATGAAGACCCAAAGAGGCCGTCAGGCCCAAGGCTTGTGCCATGTCTCTTCTTACACAGAGGACACTCAGCTGTGGAGATGTGACCGAGGCTTGAGCTAGGGGCGGTGAACTGTGAGGCAGTGACTAGAAAACACGTGGGTGGGACTAGTGCAAGATTAGCTTGGCCAGGTCCCTTTCAGTGTGGACTCCCAGTCCCTGGTGGTGAGACTGTTCTCTCTTCCTGGTTCCTCATGGGAAATGTTATGACCTCCTGTTAGGCAGAAAGGGGAAGGAGGCTTTCCTGCACTGCTGTTTGTTCAGGTGCTGTCGGCTCAAAATACTCAGTATGCTGGGCGGGGGTTTGACGTGCTGGTTAAGACACCGCTTGAGACACATATCCCCTATCCAAGAGCCTGAGTTCAAGTCCTGGCTTTGCTTGGATTGCAGCTTCCTCCTAACGCACACCACGAAGCAGCAGGTCAGGCAGGTGGGTCCTTGCAGCTCGTGTGGGAGACCTGGACGGGGTTTCTGGTTCCTGGCTTGAGCCAAATAGTTGGAAGCATTTTTTCTTGTCACTGATTGAGGCTGGTGTCCCAGAAAGCAAAAGAATTCAATAGAACAATCAGATAGAGGGAGCAGGGTTAGACTTATCAAATATATTTCAAAGGAGCAGCAGGCAGCCAGGACTAGTGGAAACTGACTACTGGAGCAGCAGGCAAGCAGGACAGCTAGACCTGTATTATGCAACACGGACGGCAAGGTAAGAAGCATACTTGTAACTGCAGGACCTTCTTAGCTAGCATGAGTTTTTCCCATGACTAACAGGTTCTCCCAGCTAGATGATTTGCATTTATGGGCGGAGCTAAGGAGCACTGCTCATACCAGTGCTTTGGGATTTCCCAGTATCCTGGGGTATCCCTCAGCATCTCTATCTTCCCTTGTTTATCTACTTTTTTTATTTTTTTTATTTTACAGGTAGAGTTATAGACAATAAGAGAGAGAAACAGAGAGAAAGGTCTTCCTTTCATTGGTTCACTCTCCAAATGGCCACGACAGCCAGCACTGTGCCCATCCAAAGCTAAGAGCCAGGTGCTTCCTCCTGGTCTCCCATGCGGGTGCAGGAGCCCAAACACTTGGGCCATCCTCCACTGCCCTCCTGGGCCACAGCAGAGAGCTGGACTGGAAGAGGAGCAACCGGGACTAGAATCCGGCACCTATATGGGATGCCGGCACCGCAGGCGGAGGATTAACCAAGTGAGCCATGGCACCAGCCCTTTTTTTTTTTTTAATCTCTGCTTTTCAAATTAATACAAACAAATAATAATATGCCAAAGGGGTATATTTTGAGGAGGCATGTTCTGAACCCATTCAATAGTCAATGAAACAATTATCCCCACTTCCTGACAGCCTGCAACCCAGAGCAGAGCCCCACGTAGGTAAACTCTTCCTGAGATCATCCAACGCAAGTCAAATCCTGTAAGTCTTCTCTAAAATCCTGTTACAGCCGGCGCCGCGGCTCACTAGGCTAATCCTCCGCCTAGCGGCGCCGGCACACCGGGTTCTAGTCCTGGTCGGGGCGCCGGATTCTGTCCCGGTTGCCCCTCTTCCAGGCCAGCCCTCTGCTGTGGCCAGGGAGTGCAGTGGAGGATGGCCCAAGTGCTTGGGCCCTGCACCCCATGGGAGACCAGGAAAAGCACCTGGCTCCTGGCTCCTGCCATCGGATCAGCACGGTGCGCCGGCTGCAGCGGCGGCCATTGGAGGGTGAACCAACGGCAAAAGGAAGACCTTTCTGTCTCTCTCTCTCTCACTGTCCACTCTGCCTGTCAAAAAAATAAAAAATAAAAAAAAATAAAAAAAAATTAAATCCTGTTACAGAGATGTCTCGCCATTCCTCCAGAAGATACAGTCTCCATTGGAAAGAGCAATAAACCAATTTTTTTTTAAAAATTTATTTATTTATTTGAAAGAGTTACACAGAGAGAGGAGAGGCAGAGAGAGAGAGAGAGGTCTTGCATCCGATGATTCACTCCCCAGATGACGGCAATGGCTGGAGCTGTGCCGATCCAAAGCCAGGAGCCAGGAGCTTCTTCTGGGTCTCCCACGTGGGTGCCGGGGCCCAAGGACTTGGGCCATCTTCTGCTGCTTTCCCAGGCCATAGCAGAGAGCTGGATCGGAAGAAGAGCAACTGGGTCTTGAACCGGTGCCCATATGGAATGCCGGCGCTTCAGGCCAGGGTGTTAACCCGCTGTGCCACAGCGCCAGCCCCAAAAAACCAAATTTCTACTACAGTGGAGTATAATAAGCTTAGTGAGTGAGAGGGGAAACATGGGGTTGGGGGATGCATGGCAGGCTCACAGAAAAGGGATCCTGAGTCAGTTCGTGTGTGGAAAAGAGGGGCCAGTGTCAACAAAGTCTTCCCAAAGGTGACACTTAAACTGAATCTTAAGATATTGAGTGATGGAGAGGGAAAGGGCATTATGGGTAGCAGGAACAGAAAATGCTGGGATGGGCACTGGTGCAATGATCAGGACCCCACTGGGGGCGGGCACCATGGCTTGGTGGGTAAAAGCTGCCACTTGTGGAACTGGCTTACGATTTGGGCACTGGCGCAAGTCCCAGCAGCTCCACTTCCAATCCAGCTCCCTGCTGAGTGCCTCAGAAAGCAGCGGGGGATGGCCCAAGTCCTTGGGACCCTGCACCATGTGGGAGACCCAGAAGAAGCTCCTGGCTTTGGACCAGCCCACCTCCAGCTGTTGTAGCCATTCAGGGAGGGAAACAGCAGATGGAAGATCTCTCTGTCTCTGCGCGTGCGCTCTCTCTCTCTCTCTCTCTGTGTGTGTGTGTGTGTGTGTGTAATTCTGCTTTTCAAATAAATAAATAAATAAAATCTTACCAAAAAAAAAAAAAAAAAAGACCCACTTGGGGTAGGCGCCGGCAGCTATTCAGCTACTGATCCAGCTCCCTGCTAATGTGCCAGGGAAGCGGTAGATAATGGCTCAAGCACCTGAGTCCCTACCACCCATGTGAGAAACGAAACCTCCATGGAGTTCCTCTTACCTTTGGCCTGCCCCAACCCTAATGTTGTGGCTGTTTTGGGATTGAACCAGAGAAGGGAGATCCTCTCTCTCTCTCTCTTTCTATGTCTCTCTCCCTCTCAAATAAATACATAAATCTTTAACAATAACAACAACAAATAAACAAACAAAAAAGACCCCCCCCCTTGGGACACCTGTATCCCATATCCAAATGTCTGGTGTGAGTCTCAGCTTCTCTGCTTCTGATCCAGCTTCCTGCTAATGTGCACCCTGGGAGGCAGCAGGTGCTGATTCAAGTACTTGGATCCCACCCATTCACATGGAAGACCTGGAGTGGGTTCCAGGCTGCTGGCTTCCACCTGGCCCAGCCCTAGCTGTTGCAGACATTTGGGGAGTGAAGCAGCAGATTGAAGATCTCTGTCTGTCTTCTTTTCAAGTAAAGTGAAAATAAATTAAAACTGTTTTTAAGGTGCTGAAAATGCAAAAACAGGAAAGAAATAGTGAGCTAAGAAGTATTCTAATGTTTGCATATTACTTTTGGTGTCCGCTAAAGGCCTGTGTGTTACAATCTTGGTCTCCAAACTCTTCTGCTAATGGTATGAAGAGGGTGGAAACCTAGCGCGACTTTGGTGTTTAGAGCTGGAACCTTTGGGAAGTGATGAAACAGGATTCGGTTGCTGGGCTGGCACTCTCATGATCGACTCCTGGTGGCTTTCTAAGGAGAGCCGTGGACACTCCTGCTCCCACTTGCCGTGTGGTGCTTGCACTGCCTTGACCCTGCCCGTGAGAATGCCATCATCGGGTGCTGACCAATGAGGCTGTCTGATCTTGGAATCGTGGAGCCCAAACAAACTACCTTCCTTCACAAGTAGCTTGTCTTGGGTATTTTGCTGTGATTACGAAAAGCTGACTAATGCAATGGATTTATGAGCAACCTGTTTAATGCCAGGTTTTCCCAGAATCCAGTTTTTAGGATTGGGAAGGTCTTCCATGGTGAGGAGAAAGAAGCGTGAGAGAGCACAGTACACGCCCCTCTTGCTAGTGAAGTACTTGGTCTCGGTGCTTTGGGGCATCCATTACCCAGGTTTTGCTCTGGCTCCCCTTGCTTTCCAACAAAACAGCTTAGGGGCTTGATTGCCACCTGATGAGCTGGACAGGAACTTTAATACATATATTGTGATACTGTCACTCTGATAATGAGGTGGATGGCACAGCATTGCTCTGGTTGCACACCCTGGAACTTTGTTTACAGATGTTTGGGTCCTATCTGTGATACCAGACACAAGGCATCACAAGGCACCCATTCAAAAGCTACTGATGATAGCAAATGAAAGTCTCGTGTTCAAATTGGGGGCAGGGCCGACCATGAGCATTGCCCTAAGTCATGCCAGTCTCTTTGATCTGCAAAACAATAAATGCCTTTATTGAGGGTATTTTTAGATTTATTTGAAAGAGTTACAGAGAAGCAGAGACAGAGAGAGAGATGTCTTCCATCTGCTGATTCACTCCT